AAAGCGTGAGTATTCAGTGAAGGTGGTCCCTGCCAGTGACATCAGTACCTCTCCACCTCTCTCTCCTCTTGTATACAACAATTGATAGCATATCACTGAGTTGTGGCTTTTGAATGTTTGACAGAACAAATATTCTCAAAGCTTCATGTGACTTCAGCAGGCCACTATACATACACAATTCATTTTTTTTGTTCAACCAGTGGGTCTGTGGGGGCCAAACCATCACTTCCAGTATTCTTTGTTTTTCTTCACATTGAAGATAGTTCTCAATGACATTGGCTGTATGCCTGGGGTTGTTGTCCTGCTACCTGCTACAAAACAGGTTTGGGGCCAATCACACATCTCCTTGATGGTATGGCATGATGGATAATATCTGCCTGTATTTCTCAGCATTAAGAGCACCATTGATCCTGAACAATTCTCCAGCTCCATTTGCAGAAATGCGGCTCCAAACTTGCAAGGAACCTCCTCACTGTTGCCTACAGACACTCATTATTGTATTGCTCTCCAACCCTTTGGACAACAAACCGTCTCCTGCTACAGCCAAATATTTTTATATTTTGACTCATCAGTCCAGAGCACCTGCTGCCATTTTGCTGCACCCCAGTACCTATGTTTTCTTGCATAGCTGAGTCGCTTATCCTTGCTTCCAAATTGGAAGTATGGCTTTTTGGCCGCAATTCTTCCATGAAGACTACTTCTGGCCAGACTTCTCCAGACAGTAGTTGGGCGTACCTGGGTGCCACTGATTTGTTCCAGTTCTGTGCTGATGGCACTGCTGAACATCTTCTGATGTCAAAGGGAAGTTAGCATGATATGTCTTTCTCCTACTGCATTAAGTTTCCTTGGCCAACCACTGCAACTACGGTCTTTAACATTGCCCAATCAGTGGTGTCCGCAATGCTGAGAGATACAGACAAAGTGGAGAGGGATTAGAACACCTGCCATGTTTTTATTGCTCTCTGTCCTTCTTACGGAGAATCACCTTGTCTGTTTTATCCCACTATCACTGAGAGTGAAAGTGAAAGAAAATCCCAAATTTTAGGTTATCACTAGAGCAAGAATGGAGGAGGAGTCTTCCACTGGGGACTAGTGACAACCAGGGTTTCTCTCACTTTGGAGAAATTTCCTCTCATTTCCTTTTGTGGCTATGAGTCAGGAAGTGAACAGAAATCTCCCTAATGGGACACAGATAGCAAAAAAAAACGACTGGGGTTTTAACCCTTCCTGACTCTATCCAAAAATGCCCTCAAGTCTACTTTAAATACAAAGTGTGACAATTTAGTTCCTGGAATGGACTGTAAAGAAAAAATGTTTGCTTACCAATACACGTGCAGCTATTATTACCTTCAAAGTAGTCCCCTTGTGAAGCAAAACATTTTTCTCATAATGTAACACAGTGCAAATATTAAAAAATAAAAATAAATAATTAAAGTTATAATATATAAGTGTTGGATTTATATGTGTTATATTATGAGTTTTGTTTGATGTTTTGTTATTTTTGAACAGCAACATTTATTTTTATTGATTGCTATATCCTTGGCGCAAGGTTTCAATTTATTATTTTTTTATTTTTCTAGACGCCTCTGCCACTGCAGAAAAACATTCCTAGAATACGTTTTCTGGAATGCTGCGCAGTATCTTGGTCACAATGTGTTGAATGTCTGGATTGTCATCAAATCTGTGTCCTTTTAAGGCATTTTTTAATTTTGGAAACATCCAAACATTGCAGGGTGCTAAGTGAAGGGAATAAGGGGGTTGGTCAAGTTTCAGAATGGATTTCTGCACCAGGAACTCCAAAATTCTTAACGCATGTGCAGGTGTACTGTTGTGGTGGAGAATCCACTTGTCAGACCAGAGTTCTGGTCTTTTTCTCCAAACAGATTCCTGTAACCTTTTCAGAATTTCCAAGTAACAATGCTGGTTGACCATAGTACCATGTTCTATGAACTTGCAAGGTTTTGAAATAAGAACGAGAAATGTGTGCTTTCTTCAGGTGAGGTGAATTCTTTGTTTTCCACTGCATGCTCTGGCATTTTGTTTCCGGACCATACTGGAAACACCATGTTTCATCAATGGCAATAACCATATCAAACACCTCTGCATTCTTCAAAAGATAGAATGAAATTTAAAAACTACGTTCTTTCTGATCTTTCGTCAAGATTCAAGGCATCAGCTTTATGGAAATATTTCTCATTCCCAAATCATCCATAAGAATCTGTTGCACTATTTCCCTATTTATATTAAATTCTTCTGCCATTATTCGCACACTCAATCTTTGATCTGAACGTATGAGGGTTGGTACTCTGTCAACATTTGCATTCATCCTTTGCGTTTTTAGCTGACCACTTCTTGTGTGATCGTGGACATCTTCCCACCCCTCCTTTAACCACCTACTGTAAGTCATTCAAAAACATTTGATTTCTTCATGGAAGTTACACTATCATTTTTGCAGATTTTCACACAAAATATGATTTTAATCCGCTGTTCTAGATTCCTTCACTTATCTTCACACAACAGAGCAATGCACACAGCTGTTATTTCTTTTATTACTCTATAAAGATTGGGTCACCACTATAATGCTACGCTGCAGACATTCCACAAATTAAATTGCTGTGTATTGAATCAGGCAGGCCCTTCCACTATATACCGTAGTCAGGGGCGGACTGATCATTCGGGCACTTGGGCACTGCCCGAGGGCCCAGGGTCAGTAAGGGGCCCCATGAGATGCCCCTAGTACCTTTCATAGGATTTTTTGGGTGTGGTTTGAGTGTGGGTGAGGACACAGGGGCCCCATGATCCCCTATTGCCCGGGGCCCCATGAGTTGTCAGTCCACCCCTAACCGTAGTTGATGGTAGATAAAGGAGATTGTACAATTGCATTGTAAAATGTATGGCCAGCTATAGGGTACCAATAAATATACAGTCATTTTATAACTGCTGGGCTAGGGGTGCTTTACATGTCTGATACTTATATGAATTTAGCTTTTATTTGCTATCCCCATTTTATTGTGCATGTCTATTAATAGCAGTAAGAAAAATAATAAAAAAAAGGTCTTCTTTCTATTTATTTTAAATCATTTTTTAAGGTGCTTCTAAGATTTCAGAAGTGACAAGTATTAGGGTTATTTCACACCACAATCATGCATTCACTGTACATTTCCACACGCATGTTTACATACGTTTTTAACGCATTTGTAATTTGTTCCAGTGTATTTTCTTCTCTTTTTTTCCACTTGAAAAGTGAGTTTGTGTGCACTCTGGTAGGTTTACATGCTTTTACATGCAAAAAAAATGCATGCAGCTATACTTTTTTTTTTTAAGCAGTGGAACGAAACACAGTGGTGTGAACTAGGATGATTCAGAAAAATTGATTTTACTGTGCATGCATTCAGAGTGGACCTGAAAACATCTGGTGTGAACAAGTCCTCAAAGTATAAGCTACTGTAAAAAGTTGGTTTAAGTATATAGCACTTGTATTTCTGAGCCTTAGAGATTACTGTATCAGCATTTAAGCATGCACTGTTAATTATACAGATTATTATTACAGTGAGGTTATCTATTGCTAATTAACCACAGAACAGAATCCGGTCAGACCTGTCTCCTGGAATGACAAACATGGCTGCACCTACACAAGCAATGTTCAGACTATGTTAGAATATCACTTTGAATGTCTTTTGACTCTACTTATATAGGGAGGTGTTAAACATATGATTAACTAATTATAGAATATTCCTTATGGATAGCACGTTTCCTTGTAATAGTAAGCACTACCTCTTGTACTGTAATTAATTTATAGAGGAAGCAAAATATTGTACTGAGACAGACAATCAAAGTAGAAAGTTTAGAGGTTAAGTGACTTAGCGCTTAGTACTTCTGCCTTGCAGTACTGCTGTCCTTGAATCAAATCCTGGCAAGAACATGCTTATAGGTAAATTGGCTCCTGTCCAAAATTGTCTCTAGTATGTATGAGAAAACATTTATGGTAGGCATGACAAATCTAACATGTAACCAGGGGCAGACTGACCATTTGAGCACTCGGGCACTGCCCGAGGGCCTGGGGTCAGTAGGGGGCCCCATGAAATGCCCTTGGTACATTTTTTATAGGCTTTTTTGAGTGTGGGCAAGGACACAGGGCCCCATGATCCCCTGTTGCCCGGGGGCCCCATGAGTTGTCAGTCCGCCCCTGCATGTAACATGCAATGGCTGCTTTTATCAGGAGCCTTCTCACAGTTTTTACTTCATGACAGATTCTATTTATCGTAAATGTAAACCCCAATTGATGACATGTAGCACCCTCCTAGGTAGGTTGCTAGGATGTAATGTATACAGTCTAGTTTAGTATAGTGTGGTCTCGTGCTTAACAGGAGACTGATAGGCAAAACATAGTAGTTTTTCTGCTTAACAAAAAAGCTACAATTGTTTAGTGAGAATTTAATGTGTGGTTCCCAGTGCTACTGCTGTAATTGGCTCATCTGTATCCAGGAGACCTTGGAAGGTTCTGGGTGAACAGGAGTGACCCATGCAGATCAGCAGCATGAATATGGATGCAGTTCCAGCCAATTAAAGGGAGTTGTGCCCCTAAGCATGCTGGGTACTAGTATTTATATTCAGTGAGCACATGTGATCTGGGTTCTTCTTCCTCTAAGAAGGGAGTTCCAGGAAGGGAGGAGGCTGCCTCCCCTGGCTTATGATGCCAGGAGGCCTCAGGTGATCGACATGAGGGCCAAAATGCCGAAACCCACTTCTGAGAGCTGACTGAGGGGGTTTGCAGGGGCAGACTGACCATTTGGAAACTCGGGCACTGCCCGAGGGCCTGGGGTCAGTAGGGGGCCCCATGAGATGCCCCTTGTACCTTTTTTCATAGGCTTTTTTTAGTTTTGGCAGGGGCACAGGGGCCCCATGATCCCCTATTGCCGGGGGCCCCCTGAGTTGTCAGTCCGCCCCTGGGGGGTTGTCAACAGATCCTGTCTGGTATCACTGAAGAAGGTGCCCTGCAGCAAGGGCCTTGTGAGTACACACTATTCTACATGGATGCTGGGACTTGTGCTGTTTAACCCCCTCAGAACTTATGTATATAGTCAGTTGCTGGGTGTAAGCTAGAGGTGTTCAGAAGAGCAACTGTCCATTAAGCTCTGCATTTCTACAGAAGGACTGTGCTACACAGATCTACTTAGAGAAAGCTGTCCTCAAGTGCGCATAGTTCAATTCAGAACATCCCACTATATCCCTTCCCTATCCCAGTTCTAAAATAAAATAAAAACAACAAAAATGACAACCCCCAGACTGATCATTGAAATAATGACCGAAGTTGTGTGCACCTAGCTATAGGAAGTGCTGTGTACTTGGCTGTGGGAGAAGATCTAGGGGAAAGCCTGGGCAAGATAAAAGTGGCTCCTACGGGGGTAGCACTACAGACATGTAGTTTAAGAAATCACAGTATAAACAATTGCCTTTTTAAAAATGCATTTTCACAGTTATTTGTTGGGTTGCTGAATCTGAATGCTGTTTACATGCATGCATTCCAGTGTTGGCTGCTTGGCATTTGTCAAGACAGATGTCCTGATAGTGAGTTTTGCATTTTGCCTGTAAACGCAGCTCAATGTTATCCTATGTGTCCATACACATTAGGATGTTTAAAGGCATATTTTAAGCTGAGCGCTTGGAGACAGAAAAAAAACCCTATTTTGTGTTTTTGAGAGCAATTTTCTGGCAGAAAAAAACAGTGAATGCTCCTAAACTCTCCTAGAAGCTGCTAAATTCTCCTAAACTCCTTTACAAAAATGCTCTAAATGAGCATTGTTTTCTGCCAAGGGCATTTTTTAGACCCAGTGGTGTGCATGAACCCTTAAACAGCCACCTGTATTCTCCATTGGAAGCCTGTGTGACAACAAAGGAGCACAATGGAAAGACAGGAACAGGGTGTTGTCTCCCTATAATTGGCTGTGCCTGAGAATGCCCATGTAAAGTTGCCAGGTGTTCTTTTTTGTTCAGCCAGTAAATAAAAATAAAACAAAACAAAAAAAACAGATTCCTCCATCCACACAAGCAAGGTGTGGACTTGCCCCTATCAAAATACACTGATCAGCTGCTGCCAATTTGCTGTAGAATATGATTGACTAAAGTTTTCCAGCATGTTCCTCAATCAGCCTCTGTTGACCAGGGGTGGCCACACACTGAACGAAATGCATCCGGTTCCTACCGAACCTAATTTCGATCCATCCAATGCCAATTTAAGGTACATAGATGGCCAGATGATGGTAAACTTAGGCAGCTGATCTGCAATCTAACTGCCCTTTAGTCACCCACCTATAATGCAACATGGCCACAGAGGTCTGTGTACATTGCTGAAGATGCAATGCTTTGCTTCATCGCTCAGAAATTTTAACTCATGTTGAGTTTGGCAAGTGCTGCCACTTGCCAAAATCTCCCACTAAAGTCAATATGTGTTTGGCGCTATGCACACAGGTGTGGTATATCAATGTAAAATCCCTCATGGGATTGACATGAAACAAAAAAAAAAAACACAAAAAACAGGCATTAAGGAGGTGGCAGTATAACCTCGCAAACGCCTGTAAATTGCCTCTGAATAAGTAGTCCACCATGGAGAAGATGGTAGAGCCTTCAACCCTTTTTGAAAGAGGTCCAAATAATATTTTTTTTCCCTACAACTCTTAAAGAGCAATTATACAGATGGGAGTGGGCCAATGCAAGCTGATTTTGCATTTAGGTACAAGATGTGACATAACTGGGGGTAAAACAAGATGTCTTTGTCTAAATTAAACCGAGAGGTCAGAGTTGCCTTGCCTTTTTTCACTTCCCACACAAATTCCAAATCTTATCCATGGGCAAACACAGGGTTTTCCATTTTGTTGTGGAGCATAGAAGATATATGTAATGTTTTACTGACTTTTCAGATATAACAATCAACATATACCCACAGCAGCATTATAGAATAAATGTACATTCAGAAATATGGCTTATCTGCTGAGAGAGGGAGATAAGTATCTCTACTGTGAAGAGTTTATGATTAGTTGCTTACTTCTTTTGAACTTCGTGTTCTGAATGTCCCAAGGCATGTTCAAACTTTTTGTTGAGATCAGCTTTTCTATTTATAAAACTGGCAATACAGTAGTAGATATTCAAGCCAACATTTATGTGAACATTCATAAAAAAGTTCATACAGAAATTCTCAGTACTTACTTGATACGTGTACAGTAAATGTATTTTAAAGTGTTTCAAAATTTGGTTTGCTTTTAACATTTGATTTTGAAACCAATAGACTTTACCAGTTGAAAACTGTATACACTATTAGAAATTTGTTTGTTCATGAAAAACTTTCCATCCTGCTCCTTTGAATTTTCTTAACACTGCTGTCAAAGAGGAATATTGATTTGACCACACTAATAATTATAAAATAAAAAAAACATTCTTAAAACAAATATTTTCACATGAAATTCTACTAGTGTATGGCCCTCAGGGGCGGACTGACCATTTGGAAACTCGGGCACTGCCCGAGGGCCCGGGGTCAGAAGGGGGACCATGAGATGCCCCTGGTACCTTTTTCATAAGCTTTTTGAGTTTGGGCAAGGACACAGGGGCCCCATGATCCCCTATTGCCCGGGGGCCCCATGACTTGTCAGTCTGCCCCTGATGGCCTTATTAAGTATCCTCCCTTTTCCCCACCATGTTCAGATTATTTTCTGGTCTATTAAGTGACCTCAAGCTGAAATGGCAGCCAACACGACATTTGTGGATCGCTATTCTTCCATTGTCTTTCCATGATCCCAATTCATTGTAAGAATTTTGTATATGCCTAGTCTGCTGTTGACTGGTGTGATGTGGAAGTACCATATCACCCCCACATACAAATTTGGTCCCCCTCTAGTTCCAGGTTAGAATACTTCTACAATTTCTCTGCCATGACTTCCTGCATGTCTACCCCAGCACTTTCATTCTGATGGTCTCCTCTTCTATAGCTGGCTTCCAGTGAGAGGATCATCTACAGCTGCTGTCGGGTCCTGGCCTTTGTCAGGATGAGTTATTATTGTTGGTTATATGAACTAATCAAGTAGCTTCTATGTAAGTGCAAATTCTAATTTTTTATTTATAAAGCAGACTTTTACCACTATCCTGTGTCTATGTATTTTTGCCCCGCTTGTATCCACAAGGAGCAAATTTCCTTTAAAGACATGTGATCGCCAAATTTGCCAATCAGCAGCCAGCCAGCACTGTGTAAAAGGCGAGCTAAAAAGGGCGGCCCCTTTTTGAATTCTTTTATTTGCCTCCCCGTCATTCAAGAGAGGGAGACCGCTCTGTAAATTTGGGGACCGAGTTAGGGCCACCCGAAACTTACTTGGGGAAAGAAAAAACCCTTACTTTAGGACCGAGAAAAAGTTTCTTTGGGGCAGAGAAACATTACTCAGGGGCACAGAATTTTTACTTTAGGCCACAGAAACCCCTTACTTAGGGCCCCAAAACGTAGTTAGGGGCCACAGAAAATTTTTACCCCAGGAAAAGACAGAATTGGTTTCAGAAAGGGGCCAAAAGGAAATTGTTACTTAGGGCCCCAGAAACTGTTTCCCCAGGGCCACAAATTGGTTTTCGGGGGGGGCCACAGGAAAATGTTTTTCTTTGGGCCACAGAAAAAGTTTTATTTTTGGGCCAAAAGAATTGTTTCTCAGGGGCAAAACCAGAATTTTACAAGGGGCCACGAATTGTTACTTAGGGGGGCCGAAAAGATACTCAGGGACCCCAGAATTGTTTCTTTTAGGGGCCCACAAAACCCGTTACTTTGGGCCACAGAAACGTTAGGTTTAAAGGGCCACAAAAATTGGTTTTCTCAGGGGCAGACACGAAATTGGGTTTTCTGGGGGGACACAGAATTGTTACTGAAGGGGCCACAGAACGTTACTTAAAGGGGCCCCAAAAATTGTTACTCCCGGGACACAGAATTGTTACAAGGGGCACCACCCCTTCTAAATTAGGGGGCCCCAGAATTGTTTTTCCCCAAGGGGCAGACACCCGAAAAAGTTACTCAGGGACACAGAAATTTTTACTGAGGGGCCCCAAACCTTACTTAGGGTCCCCAGAATTGTTTAAATCAGGGGCAACACAGAATTTTTTACTCGGGGCAGACACAGAATTGTACGAGGGACACAGAATTGTTACT